AACCTTCTCCAGCCCAGTAGCAGGACCCAGCTCAGTCTCCAGAGCCCTCTATGGTAGGTGAACATTCTCCTGCCCAGCAGCAGGGCCCAGCGAGTCTACAGAGCCTTTGATGCAGGTACAACTTTCTCCAGCCCAGAAACAGGCACCACCTCACTCAACAGAGCCCTCTAAGGAAGGTGAACATTCTCAAATAAGGCAGGAGGCCCCAGCTCACTCTCCAGAGCCCTGTAAGCAAGGACAACCTTCTCAAATTCAGCAGGAGGCCCCATCCCAGTCTACAGAGCCCTCTAAAGAAGGTGAACCTTCTGTACAGGTGCGACATTCTCCAACACAGCAGCCGGCCCCAGCTCAGTCTGCAGAGCCGACTAAGGAAGGTGAACTTTCTGAAATCCAGCAGGAGGCCCCAGCTCAGTGTACAGTGCCATCTAACAAAGGTGAACCTACGCAAATGCAGCAGTAAGCCCCATCTCACTCTACACACCCTTCTATGCTGGTAAAACCTTCTCTAGCCAAGCAGCAGGCACCTGCTCAGTCTACAGAGCCCTCTCATGAAGGCGAACCTTCTCAAATCCAGCAGGAGGCCCCATCTCGGTCTCCAGAGACCTCGAAGGAAGATGAACCCTCTGAAATCCAGCAGAAGGCCCCAGCTCAGTCTACAGAGCCTTCTAAGCAGGTACAACCTTCTCCAGCCCAGCAACAGGTCCCAGCTCAGTCAACAGAGCCCTCTAAGGAAGGTGAACCTTCTCAAATCCAGCAGGTGCCCCCATCTCAGTCTACAGTGCTCTCTGAGGAATGTGAATCTTCTCAAATCCAGCAGGAGGTCCCAGCTCACTCTACAGAGCTTTCTATGAAGGTAAAACCTTCTCCAGCCTAGCAGCATGTTCCAGCTCAGTCTACAGAGCCCTCTAAGGAAGGTCAACCTTCTCAAATCCAGCAGGGGGCCCTAGCTCAGTCTACAGTGCCCTCTAATGTAGGAGAACCTTCTCAAACAGAGCATGAGGCCCCAGGTCAGTCTAAAGAGCCCTCTAAGGAAGGTGAACATTCTCCAACACAGCAGGAGGCCCCATCTCAATCTAACAGTTTGAACCTTCAAAACATCTTTTGAAATGACATATCAGACAAGAGACTCATTTCTAAAATATATAGGAAATTACAACACCTCTACAAGAAAAAGACAAATAACCCAATTAAAAAGTGGGCACAGGACATGAACAGACACTTCACCAAGGAAGAGATCCAGGTAGCCAACAAACATATGAAGAAATGTTCACGATCACTAGCCATTAGAGAGACGCAAATCAAAACAACAATGAGGTATCATCTCACACCAACAATAATAGCAAAGATGAAAAATATAGAGGACAATAAATGCTGGTGGGGATGTGGAGAGACTGGGACACTACTGCATTGCTGGTGGGACTGCAAAATGGTCCAACCTCTCTGGAGAGCAATATGGCATTTCCTCAGATGGTTGAAAATAGAAATACCTTATGATCCAGCAATTCCTCTACTTGGTATTTACCCACAAGAAAAAAGAGCCACAATCCGAGAAGATATATGCACACCAATGTTCATAGCAGCATTATTTACAATAGCAAAAAGATGGAGGCAGCCAAAGTGCCCATCAATTGAAGAATGGATAAACCATGGTACATACACACAATGGAATATTATGCTACCTTGAAGGACAACAAGGAAGGTGTAAGCTACCACATAACATGGATGAACCTTGAGGACACTAGGTTGGGTGAAATTAATTCTAAAAAAGGAGAAATACTGCATAGGACCACTACTATAAAAGACTAAGAAAAAGAACCCTTACTAAAAGGAAGCAAAGGAATCTTTGCTGGCTCCCAGGATGTGTAGGGAAAGGGGAGGGGAAGGTGGAGCACAGGATAGGCAATAGACACAGGATACTTTGGGTGCTGGGGAAGGGGGCAAAACACAAGAAGGAAGAGGGGAATTGAAAAACAAGGCAGATGGAAAAACAATTAGGCAGGTTTGCAAGGGCTAAGTGGGACAGAGGTAAATAATGATGTAGGCATAAATAACCTTGGAACAACAGGGCTCTGGGATACAGGGATTGAGGCATGGTTGAAAGGGGGGGAAACAATGTTAAAATGCTTTCATACCATTATAAAATACACACTTTAAGGGGAGAGAAAGGAATAGCCAGAAATATTACCATAGAAAGCTTGCAAGTCTGTGTCTTCTGCCTATAACTGATTGGAATACCTAAAATGGGGCTACAAGGTGCCTAGTGAAGGAGGCTTCCCTGTGGAGGGTCTACATTGCATAAGACCATACATAGAATCCTGAACCCCATTTAGAATCTTCTGAGGTTGGAAATTTCCACTTGAAAGGACAAGCAGACCAGCCTGGAGCAGCTAGAAGAACAGAAGATACTTTTTGAAAGAAACACCGACAGGAAAAATGCAAAACAATAACAGCAGTCCAACTGACTACTATAAGAACAAGCAACTTGCTCACCCAGGAGACATCAAGGCAAGTGGTCGGGTCCCCTCAGGGCAGAGCCCCTTCTAAGTAAGACTAAGACTCAGTAGGGATACACGAGCAGACATGCGCTGTGACTGGTGACAACATTGGTCATCAATAAGTGGAAGTGAAGGAAAAACAACAATGTTGTAGCAAGCTAAGCCCTACCATGTTCAATAGACTCCTGTGAACTCAGGTAGAGACCTGGTCAGCCAGCAGTGTGGCATGACCTGGGAACTCCTTCGCACAGTCAGTGGCATAGCCACAGAGGATTAGAGTGGGGAGTGACGTGTCCAGCTGATAAGAAGAGAGGGCATATGCACAAGAACACCCCCACTTGCAGATAATACCCACTTGACCTGGCTTCAGTGGCTGGATGATTAGAACTCAACTAGAAGAAGAAGAGGAGAAAAAGAATAATCTAATACAATTTGATTAATTTGACCTATACCTATGGATACAGTAGCTCAAAAAGAGGGGAAAAAATCTTGCCGGTGAGGGTCATTCCCATCCCCTCGATACACAGGGTAGACAGGAATGGGCAACTTGAACATTAGCTACCCAAAGGGAGGGGGAGGCTACAAAGGCAAGAAGTGACTGGCTTACAGGCTTTCCAGAGGGTGCAGAGGAAGGTAGCATCTCCACTGAGTAGTATTCAATCTGTCTGGACAGGACTGATAAAAGGAGATGGGGATGGCACGCATGTGGCAAAATAGTAAATAATTGCTATCAGGACTGACTGTGAAGGTTGGAAATGTAAAGTTAGATGTTATGTACCAAAAGGAGGGGAGTGGTTGACTTTGCAGTCCAGGAGCAGAGGTCTCTGGGACCATCAAGGGATAAGAGCAGAGTGCGTGACCTTACCAAGATGCAGTGATGCCATAGATCCAGAGAGGGAGGAGAGAGGGGCTTTGTGCTGATGACCAGGGTGCAGGCGTGCAGGGTGTATCCTTTGTTTGGATGATGCATGGAGGGGATTGTAACCATGGCAATGAAACGATATATGATAGGATAAATGTAAAGCTAATATTCTTCCATGTAAACTATCAAAATAAACGTTTTATTTTTAAAGTATGATTTTTAGTGGGAGAGGAGTGACCATTGAATACAGAAGTGAAGAGAAGAAGGGAAAGAGAAGGAACAGGTATTTACTTTGGAAGACCGATTGAATTTTAAAGTAAATGTCTACCACCATAAATGTAAAGAAAGAAAAGTAAATCTAGCCAGATATAAAGAAAGAAAAGTAAATCTAGCCAGATATCAATGAATAATCACTGAGTGAAATTTTACATGTGCACATTACACCATACCAGTCACTGTAGAAATGATGCAACCATCTTCTTCATTCTGTCATAAAGCCTCCCTTTTCTCTTCTTATCTCAGGTTTTAATATTGCCCAGTGAGTCCATATCTCGAAGGGTTTGTTGGAGTTGGAAAGTTGCAGTATTGATTGGTGCCCTTGTGAGATGCAGGTCAAGAATACACAGATCTACAGCGATAACTTGAGGAATAATTTATTCTGAGTTCCTAAACCACAGCCCACCCATAATGAATATGCTGCTCAACAGCATAATGAACAAAAGGAATAAAGCTGGCACAAGCTGAAATGGGCTCCAGATCTTTGACTTAAGTCACTTTGGAGTCTACAAATCATGGGGTGTATGTTTACAGACACAGAGAAGGGCAGAAGGTTCAGGAAGTAGTTTTCCCATGGTAGTACAACTATGTGCAAATGAGGGATTGGCCCAGAATGTTAGAAGCGAAAGAAGTCTGCAACAACACCCAGGATGGAATGAAAGTTTGCAGTCACAACAACCAGTACCAATTGACAAGGTCTTTTAGAAACATGTCAGCAGAGGGAGTCCACATATGGTACCTCTTTTACACCTTTCCAAAGTGGGGATAAGAGTGGGAGGAGGAGGAGGGATGTTGACAGTAAACATTGCAGACAAGGGAGGTGAAGAATTTTTAAAAAGCAAGTGAGCGAAAGGCAACTTTTCAGTTTCAGGATAAGCTATGGGAAGGAAGTACGTTGATACCTCACTGTTGATACCTCCACTAGCTCTTTGGAAACACTTGTGTCCTATTCACAGCTAGCCCACAAGCCATAACACAGATGGCGCTGAGCATTCTGCTGTTTGATCAAATCACCTTGACATGTTCTATGGCTGCTTCATTGAGGTCTTCCTTACATTCTCAATTCCTCTTCCATCTATCACAGGGTGGACACTGCCACGCCCCCGCCCCCTTAGTTGTTAACTGCCATATAGAATCTGTTCTAACCCATAGCAACTCTATATAGGGTTTCTGAGGAGCAGTTGGTGAGTTTGAACTATCAACCTTGCGGTTCAAACTGACCTTGCAGTCTAGCACATTATCCTGCAGCGCCACCCCTGCAGTTGGCCATGCCCCATGCTGTCCAAGAATACAAGGCAGTACTGAAAATGTTTTGTTATGCTCTACTCAATTGCCAACAGGTAAAATCAAGTTGAAAAGGACATCTACAGCAGGAGCAAATGTGAGGTTTTTCTATGGGGTGAAGGGCAACGCTATATTGGCGAAGTTGGGAAGGTTAATGCACTGCAGACCAAGCAGATATGTAAAAGTCATTGACTAGTTTTAGTATTTCCAAACTAAGGGAGCCTGCTCCCAGGATGCACAACCTTCTTCACATGTCAAAATCCAAAGTGTCTGTCTACATGTGCTACAATATTTTATACTTTAATGATCAAGATGTTTTTAGTAATAGTAACACCGCAGATTATTGTTATTGTTGCTGTCAAGTGGGCCCCTGATTTCTAGAGACTTCCTACACAACAGAACAAAACACTGTGTGGTCCTGACCTACTCTCATGATCAGTTAGGGATCAGATAGATTAAATAATGAGAAGTTTAGAGGCAGAGAGAAAGAAGAGGAAAAGGAGATGTTTGTAAGAAATACTGAAACACAATCCATTTCCATGTTTCTCCTTGACCACTCTCACCCTTCAGAACCATTTTCTCATTTGCTGAGGTGTTGATAAATAATGTAGGTTGTTGTTAAGCGCCTTTGAATAGGTTCCAACTCAGAGTAAGTTTGTATAGGGTTTCTGAGACATGACTGGTGGTTTTGAATCATCAGCCTTGTAATTCAAATCAAACTTGAGGTTCATTGTATTATCCAGCAGCGCCATACCAGGACTCCAATGAGATGGAGTACTCTAATTATCTAAGTCAACAGTGGGCAGTAGTGTGTACAGTTCTTAACATACCATGTCATCTTATTTCTTCCACTCCTTGGACCACATGGCCCATTTATTCCTCTTTCTTTCAGGTATAAGGGGTAAAGGAGCTCTGGTAGCGCCTTTACTGAGGCTGTGAACCTCAGGGTCAGCAGTT